TATATATATATATATATAATTCTTCTAACAAACGTATCGAAAATACTCTATTATTTTCATGATAGGTGACCTCACACTACATTACCTGTTAGACAACAATTTACTTCATCCTCTCATGCGTGGAACGCTTTATCATAAAGAAACGCCTCTAAGATATGTAACGAGAATAGTAACAAAGAAAATGAGTTAAGTGCTCGTCTTAATTTTTTTCCTGAGGGATGATTAGACAAACCATCATCATACACATTTAGGAATTTGTCGATTGTGTACAGTTTTCCTCAGATCTCTTCAAGTACTAATGCAGTGATGTACTTAGGAATTCTACCTCAAATATACTTTCGTCAACAATTGTAATTCTACAAAACAGGTAATGTAATTATTCATACTTTTTTGTGATTTAGGAAGGAAAAATATCTCGATTACTTTTTAAAATAATGCATCTCCTTTTTGTTTAAATATTCATGTTATTAATACATGCTTTTTATAATTTCTAGTTAAGTAATTCCTCAAGCCAGATTATTAAATTTGGCAGCATTAACGCAAACATGATTGCAAACTTTATTTATTTATTCTAATCAAAAACATATACATGATTTATGTAAGAAACAAAGAGATAAATTTTAGTTGAAATATTTTTCCACGTAATACAAATACTATTTAATTAATATATTATTTAATTAACAAGTTATTTAATTAACGACCTTTTATCTGTTGGGTTTGTCTTCTTACGATAAATCACATTATTCTTAAGCGATTGCTTTTTAAACTCCTAATATGTGTTAAAAAAAGTGACTATTGGCAATTTAATTAATTAATACTATGGACGATCGTAGAAAAATCACAATTTTGGGAAATTTGAATGAAAAAAGAAAATAGCACAAGATTAATGGAATAATTATTTTAAAAAAATGAACTGGCATTAATCATGGGTTCTCTATTTTCATTAGAGTAATGGAACAATTGAAGTAAAAATATTTATTTCTTCTTTAGCATAGTTAATACCTTATAACATTTATGAAACAAAGATTAATGTTACAGGATTCTTAGGAGAGATTAACAACTCTTTTACTATAGTTGAACTAATTTGAAATTTGTTTTCCTTAAATTTCTTTGCTCTGAAATTTTCATAATTCATAATTTCATTTCATAAGAGAGTTGTCTTGTTCTTTACAAGAAAAGATTTTTTCAAAGACGGGCATGTGAAACTTTTAACTATTTGCTTTCATTCTCAATTGCACTCCAATCGATTTTGTGCATATTACGTCTCGTACGTCGTAGACAGTTGGGTAGAAACAGTATTTTACATTTTTTTCGTATGAAAAAAGAGGAGAACATTTTTCGACTAAGTTTCAAAAATATGCTTTGCTTCTCAACATGTATCATAAATCTTGTGATGTATTTGACTTTTGGATATTGTTGTCACTCAGAAGTCCAGAAGTGGAGAATTTGAAGTTCTTAACCAGGAACAGTACATATTATAATTTGAGAAAGGTAGCTTTAGCAGTTCTTGAGCTCACATATTCCAATATTACATTTACCTCCGTCATGAATGTGTTAACTGTTTCCCCATACGCTTCTATTTTGCCAATCAATAACAGCTTGAGCTGAGGTTGAAGGTAGTATCGAGCACAGGTCGTTCCGTCGGCATACATGCCAGAATAGATTTCTTAATACACAGTTTATCTTCACAGTTTTCGTGGAAAATGAATGTTATTCGGAACACATATGTTCAATAATGTTTCGTAAGAATTGGAATATAGCATCCAAAGTGCGCTTTAGTTAGTAACAGGAAAATATTCCCTGGATCATCAACCAGTATGAAATTAGTTGAAGATGAATAATACTTGAAACCTTTGAATGCCCTTACGTATGCACTGCATAATTTTAATACCTGGAATATTAATAGAAAACAACGATTACCAACAGCGTATATGTTTTGTATCAGATTTCGAAACGACTATCTTTTCATAAAGCATGCTGAACTGGACGTTTTGTTTATAACTATCGCATCAATGATGATTGATGTTAATTACGAAGAAGAAGGGTACTGGTAAGCAGTACAATTTTACGATAGTTTTACTAATAATTTTAAATTCTCATTTTCACACACAGCGGGGAAGCAAAGCGGAAAGTTCCAGAGGCACCTTGTCATCTGGTCGATGATCTGTACAATTCCCCACCCATCTCAGTTCGTAAATACAAAGTCAAAGATCATCTCCCACCCACGTGTGTTCTCTCGCGAATTACCTATGTAACCACCTGCTCCCTCCGCGACTTCCTGAAACCTCAAGAAATACTTTGCGGCCTCCCGACGCCCGCGCGCCAAGTGATGCGGCTGTTGTTCATGCAGTTAACGCGTTCCCCTCGCCGCCGAACCCTTGCGTAACGCGCTCCTCGCGCGTTTCGGGACGTCGAGGGAAACAAACGACAGGCGCGTCGAAGACACTCGCGCACATCACGGAGAACAGGCGCGATGGCGACAGCAGCCCGGCCCGAGACACCGCCGCCGCCGCCAGCGCCTGAAACGGCCCCGGAACCAGCGACCGCGTCGCCGACAGCTGCCGACCGGCAGCCCGCACCCTGCGGAGATGTGGAGGCCGGGGCGAAGGCTCTGCTGGCGCCCAGCTGCCGCAGGCAGCACGCGGCTGCGCTCTTGGGTGAGTGACAGGCTGCGCATGGCGATATTGTGAATTCCCGTTGGCACATGATAACATTGTTTGAAGACGCCGAGTCATTTCCATGGAGACCGGCAATTGGAGAGCCAGTAACTGTGAAGTCTGCCTGATGGCTACAGCGGTTGGTTCTTTTGTTCACTCGTCAACTTGATATACATTTTTTTAAATAGACAAATATGAAACGTAGAATAGTTGGTCACCATGTAACTGACGACTACTAAGATACGAGTTATACGTCTCTCTTATTAATAGGTCTTGTTAAAAAATATGTCATATAGTGCTTGATGTGGAAAATTTAAATTTTCGTTGGTTACGTTATTTTTACCACCTCACAGATTTCACGTGTTCCATAAATTTCCTTTCTTCCCTATTTTAGAAGATAATTGATGCAGTTGTGTATTCAGTAGCCAAAAGCTTCCGTGAGCAGACAATGACTGGCCAGAAGTAAGCGTTCTCGGCTGCGTTGCAATATTTTCAAAGGACATGTCGCGCCTTTTTTTATCGACATGACTGGCAAACTCGCGTTTTGCCCTGAAGACGGCCACAACCTGATGGTAGAAACGAGCACTTCCATGGGACGCGGCACTTCCTAGGCAAGCGAGTTTTCTCGTATCCAGTGCTCAGGATCCCAGGCGATGAAATGGTGTACCACCCGTAGAGGAAAGTCTTAAATATTATGTTCCTTGTGACGTAGTTGGCTTGTGGAAATCTCGTGAAAAACGGCCTCAAAACGGACCTACACTTATATTTCTATCACGATCCGTGAGAGGGAGTGTAATGTAATATGCATGACCAACTGGAAACAGAACATGTTTACCCGGGTTTCGTAAGAAGATCGTGAGGTGATTGTGTAAATGCATAGGTCTTAATTTAAAACGTCCCCAAAGGAACCGTGTGTTGAAAGTTGGGTAAGCAAAATTTGAACTAAACCAATTTTCTGCTAGTTAATAAAATCAATCGGTATTAAAACAAACGCCAATCAAAAGAAGTCTGACATAAATAATTTCTCAGAAACCACTCCGGAGAATAGACCAAGTCACGAAATACTTGACACTGCATCACACTTACCAAAATGCCCATACGAACATAAATGTTTCATTTATCCTGTTACCGGCTGATCAAATGATGCTTTTGAGATTTTGCAAATTTTTTTTGAGACGCTGACCTTATATTCGCCTCCCGTAAAACATCGTTTTATAGCGTCGCGCGTGTCCGAATCCATTGCGAGAGGGTGCGATGAGCCTGATTGATGCTGTGGTAACGCTGGTTGTTTACCGCGAGTGTTTTATAGTGCCGCGATGCGGATGCGTAAGTTTGCGTCGGTTTCGTAATTTTACGGCGCGTGGCGACAAGAGAGAGCGGGCATCCTCTGTATCTCAGAGGCAGACAAGTCAAATTTATCACTCCGCTTAATAGGTTTCGTGATAAACGTATTTGCATTCTTTTTCCTGCCAATTCTCTCGAAGTTTCCCTTGTCATGGAATAACTCATTTGTAGTAATGTACTGTTTCTACTCATGTCAGGGTCAATTTATGTATATACTTATTAATTAAGGAAATTAATTAAGGAATACACTAATCACTACACTAGACTAATTGAATTTTAATCACTACACTAGACTTTCAACATAGTAAATAATCGGTATTTCTTGGGTTGCTTTACTGAAAACCATTACGTAAAGTGACTAAGTGAGGAACACTGAATATTCTCTCTCCGAAAGTGCTGCATGTGTTCAAAATTATTTCTTCACGGCGACGACTCTTATTTAAACAGTATTTCTTCAAAGACGTTTAACGAATTTCTGAACTATGATTCATGGAATGTTTCAGACACAATGTATGCGTTCTACTCATGGATACTGAGCTGATAATACCATTCGTTTAATTTTACATTCCGACGTGTAAATCAGTGATTTATTTTTACCTTCCCCAAACATTTCAGTCCAATAGAGAAGATAAATATAGCTTTACTTGAAGTAAACTAACACTTTTGTTACATGCTTGGAAAACATTTTGAGACACGGAAGGTGGTTCAATGACCGGAACTGTCCAGGTATCTCCCACCAACAGGACACCTCCCCAGCAAAGCCAAGCTCTAATCTTCCGATTGCTCCCCAGGCATGTGAGGGTAGAGTCTTGCATGTAAATGTATGTAAGTAAGGGATTGAGTATAGGACAAGGAAGATGACTTACGGATCTTTCCTTCGCTTTTAGGGTACTTATTCGGTGTTCGCCTGTGATTCATAGGAGAAACCACGCAAAGCTACCGATCACATAGACCGACCACTAGAATTTTCCCGAGACAGCAACTGAATCCGACCTAGCTATGGTCCTAGTGTCGAAAATCCGCCACCGTCCGGAAACGATCACTAGGACCTCCCAATCGGAGCTGCTGCAGTCAGCGACATTGCTGGCTCGAAGTTAAACTCAGCCGGTAGCCGCTTCGTTGAGAATTTTGGCGGTCGGCTGCAGCGGTCGAATTCTACGCTGGGCGTTCATCAGATGTCACTGTAGTCCCTCTGACTGGGAGGTCCAGGGTTTGAGTTCTGACAGAAGCAGGATTTTTCGACATTAGCTACACAGCTATGTCGAATTCAGCCGCTGTCTGGAGGACACTCCTAGCACCCGGGTGCTCTGATCGGAAGTTTTCCGACGTTTCTCCGATCAACCTCAGGCGAATGCCGGAGTAGTACCCCGAACGAACAAGCCATGGACCGCGTGCGATTTTTACTTCCTCTTCCTAGTTCCATCCGCACCCTTTACTTACACTCATATATGCACGCTCTTCACTACCACACATGCCGGGAGACCGGTTAGAAGCTTAGATATTGTCCCGGCTGGTGCAGTGCGGTGCCCTGCTGGTTGAAGGCACCTGATTGGGGAAAACCTCGCTAGCCGACGGTAACTCGGCGCCTAATCTTACTCACGGGGAAAGATCACTTCCACCTCCGCGTTAAAAACATGGACTGACATGCGGGACTAATGACCTTACCAGTTGATGGGCCCGAAATCACGCGGCGTCCATGGTGTACCCAAATGTTTCAGACTGTTATCCCCAAGTTAGCGGGTACTAACGCGACCAAAGCCGTGGATTTTTAAAGGCGAAAAAATCCTTCACACTACTTCCGCCGCAGAGGACGTAAAGCTAGTTGTAGATTAACTGCATGTAGAAGATCCTGAAGCCTAAATGAAGCCTCTGAGCTTCATATCCCCTGTTTCGTCGCTCAAGTAGTACCTCTTTCTCCGCTCATTGGTGACGTCAGACGGAAAAGGAAGCCTCATGGTCAGAGTCTCGCTGCATAAAATATGGCACAATTGAATTAAATTGAATCACTAATCAATTTAGCAGCGCACGGGTGGTCATAGTTGTGTGTGTTGCATTGCACGGGTGGTCGGTGTGCGTCGTGTCGCAGTCCACGGTTGGCATTTGTGCGTTGTGTTGCATGGCACGGGTGGCCGTTGTATATTGTGTCGCAGTAGCACACGGGTGGCATTTGTGCGTTGTGTCGCAGCGCAAGGGTGGTCGGTGTGCGTGGGCGCGGCGTGGTCGTTGTGCGTTGTGTTGCATGACACGGGTGGCATTTGTGCGTTGTGTTGCATGGCACGGGTGGCCGTTGAGCATTGTGTCGTAGCAGCACACGGGTGGCATTTGTGCGTTGTGTCGCAGCGCACGGGTGGTCGGTGTGCGTGGGCGCGGCGACGGCGTGGACGTCGCCGGCGCTGCGTGCTGATGGCCACGCGTGCCACACGGAGGACGAGTCGGTGCGCAGCGCGCGTGTCGCTGACGAGGCGTCGTGGATGCGGCGCTGTTCCCGCTGGCGCCGCTGCTGGCCGGGCCGCCGCCGGCGCCGTCGCCGCGCCCTCGGCCCCGCGGCGCGCTGCTCGCCCTCGCGCGCCACGCGCCGCGGTGCTGGTGCTTCGCGTGGCCGGACAGCACGGTTGCGATCCACCCTCTCTCAGACTCTAGCATACCACTCTCTCCTTCTCTCTCTCTCTTCTCTCTCTCTCTCTCTCTCTCTCTCTCTCCTCTCTCTCTCTTCCCATCTCTCTGTTGTCTCTCCTACCTCTTTCTCTCTTTTCTCATCTGTCCCCTCTCTTTTCTCTTTTCCATTTTCTCTCCTCTCTTATCTCTCTCTCATTTTCCCCTTTCCTCTCTCTCTCTCTCTCTCTCTCTCTCTGTCTCCACTTCCTCATCTTCTTTCTCCCACGAAACCTTTCGTCCTCTTTCTCTTGCAGTTGTCAGCTGCCTTTCTCCCTCTCACTTTTCTCACTGACTCCCTCTCTCTCTCTCTCTCTCGCCTTTTCCCTCTCTCACTTCTCTTCAGTTTTCTATCCTCCCTCTCGTCTCCTCTCTCATTTGCCCTCTGTCTCTTATTTCTCTTCCTCCCGTGAAACCTCTTCCTCTCTTCCTCGCGCACCCTCTAGCGTCACATTCGCGTCTGTCTCTCCCACTCTCTCTATCCCTCTCACTCTCTCCCAACTCTTCTGTTCCCTCCCTTCCTTTTCTTTCCTTTTTACCTGTCACCTCTCTTCTAATTCTTTTTCTCTCTTTCTCTCTCATGAAAAAAATCTATATATAGAACTTAAAAACTCAATTATTTTCAAAATAAGGTGCTTCGAATATTTTTCATTAGTATTTTATCTAGATCCTTCTCCAGAGTTGATTCTGCATTGTCCATGGTCTCTAAATATTGTGATGCAGTCTTGACGCCCTTCAATGCCTCTTGTACTCTTGGAACACAGACCCTGGAATTAATATCCAGGAAGTTGTTTATCCTACGTTCACTATAACCAAGGTTCGATGTTCACTATAACGAAATTTTGTTGTGCTTATTTGTAATGTAATTGAAACGGGACCAGAAACTTAATTTCACTATAAACTAGAATTCACTACTTCCATATACACTATAACTGGAATCGACTGTATGCTATCGTTTCCGGCACATGCACACATCTAGAATATGTAATGTTATTGTCACGTCTAGTCGTTGGCGGTGTCCTTGATGGCACATTTTGGGAAGCCCAATTGTGAAGTGAAAGAGCGAAACGGGTCGATAGATTTTGAGAGATTCAAAAAGTTAAAGGAAGTAATAAAAATCAATAATCATCCTCCAATATCAGATACAAATAAAAATCATGTCATCACCACTTGGGCTACCCATAACGCAGCAACCTGCTCTAACCACCTTTAGATTCCGGAGTTCAAAATAGAGATCCTTCAAGTGGAAGTTGAAGTGGAAAAATAGCCAGTTGAAGATATGTGCCCTTGTGGTTTTTCCATTTACCTTCTACTTTTGTTCCATTTTCATTCATTCCATCTTCACCATCGTCTATTACAGCATTCACCATTTCTGGTAAAATCAACAGCTCTTTCACGAAACGCAGCAAGGCCTTGATTAATTCCACGATCCAACATTTCCCCAGTCTGAAGATTTGTTTGTCACGCGGTCTCGACCAAACGCTTGTTGGATTTTCTTCAAGTTTGATTTGAGTGTTTCTGGAAATAGTTCATTTAAAAACAAAAGTATTACATTTCAATATGGTGGTCGTTTTAATGATTCGTTTCATCTACTGTTCAGTATCTTTAACGAATCTAGGCAAACGATACTCAATCATTCGACCTTCCATCTGTCTGTGAATTTTTTTGTTACAAGAAAATGCTATATAAGGCATGATGATAATTATTGTTTTTTTTAGTTTTTTGGGAGTTCTACTGTTTACAGAGAAATAATAGAGTGAAGGGAACCTTAATCATAAGAAATAAGCAACTAATATTTTGTATCTATTGTGAAGTTCCCAAGTCACCTTGAGAGATCTAGTTAAGAGCTCATTAGAATGGACTATTTCACTAAAATAACGTGTTTAAGGAGATTTGCTTTGTTTAACTTCGGTTTAACTTTCGGTAACTAGGGTTAAATTTCAAAAATTTAGATCATGTAAAAGTATGTTTTTTATGATTCGTTTCAAGTTTTCATTTAATGAAATATTCATTATCAATTTCAGTATATTCGAGGGTACCTCATCCTGAAACAGCTATGTCACCTGGTTTCAGACAAGTTGGTTCATCGTTTAGGATCTTTTGTCTAATGACAGAGCTACTTAGTACGTTTGAGCAACGAACTTTGAAGCGCTGCTATGTTTAGAGAGGTTTCCAGTTTTCTCTTAAAAATATACTCAAATAAGAAAACACTTCATAACATAACAGATATTATATACAGAATCACATATTACATACATAATATGTAATACATCACACGTGTACAATATGTGTGTGTTCTCACATTCAGTTGTGGTTTTACTTAACATTTATTACCGTCAATTTTTTCGCGAATATATTTTTCAATATATACGTTTGAGCGCGCACGTTATCATACAATTATGACTATTTTCATAATTTTTGTATAACAGATTACGTGACAATTCTTTTGATAAAATGTCGGAAAATTAATTTCAACAATGTAACAAATTTCAATTAAGCTCTCGAAAGTATTTGTTTTGAAAATAAGATACTTGAATAATTACAATTAAAATATTTGTGAATTATTGATTCAAAACGTGAAATGAGAAGGTATTATAATTTTAATAAAAGTACAAGATATTCAGACTATAAATAAATTGAATCAAAAAAACAACATCGTACGATAAACTGAAATAATGTCGCTATGTATATAAAATTCAAAAGGAATAAGTAAAGGATCGAGAATGATTAATTCTTTAAGGTATGATTCACTTGCTGGTTAAAAAGGCTGTACAGATAAATGATACGGAAAACAAGTGTGTTTTGGCTTTGAAAAGTTCGAGAGTTTAAAATCAGAATTGTGGATCTACACGAAACGAGCATATTGACATTTCATATCCAGTCCAACTAGTGCTGTGTTGGCACTGGCTCAAGTGGACTCGAAGTGGAGCAGATCGGAATCAGGCAGAAGTGCATTCACTGCTACTGCGAGCCAAGTCTTCTCAAGATCTGCTCCAAATGCACCGTGACACACAAAAAGAAATGGTCTTTCGTTTTACGCTCGAAAAGAAATTATGTCCACATTCTCATTTAATATCAGCTAAATTCACTCGCTTCGTACAGCAGAAATCTACTGTAGTCTTAACTTTTGGAACCGATTTTCGAAAAAAAAATTAATAAACAAAATAAATAAATTAAATAAACAAAATAATTTAATAAAATTAAGTTAATTTGTGGTTTGTTGTACAAAAATCTTCCAGCCTTTTGTCCCTAATGTTTGTTAAATATCATTTCATGAATTAATGTTAAGTTTTTTCTATATTCCACATCTTTTGATTTAATTTCTGACCTTTATCCGAATTTCTGCATACTCGTTATCCCCGTTTAGGTCGAATGGAGTTCTTCTGAATTAAATCAGCTTAGGTACAGGTCTCTATTTTAAACAATTTCATAAGAATTCATTTTCTAAACTACATTGCAACTAATCAGTAATGTGCTGCGCTGAAACGTCTAGAGGTCTAGAAAACCAGCATTCAAAGGGACCCTCGTAAAAAAAAGTACAACGCTTTCATCCCTACTGTATTTTAATTATCATTCAAAAATTCAAAGTGAAGTGAAATTCAAAGTATTATTGGCCGAAATGTAACATTGGAAAGCGAACTTCCTATTAAATAGGAAATGTAATACATTATCACTTTATTGTCGACAACAATATTGTGAAGTGTCTATCTCCAACTTCCATTACATTCTCAATTGGTTCACAGCTTAGGCTTCTAACCTTAAATGTTGAGATCGATCTCCCCGATTCCATCACATCATGTAGACTTTGTAGAATCAAAGTAGGATAAAGCTGATTTTCGGTATGATCATTCTTTCGTGAATTTTTCTTACTTTTTTCTCTCCATTATGTTTCACTTCACTATAGGTCTGTAATTATTTAATACATTACTTTAATGAGTTGTGAACCGCAGTAGATTAATCCAAGAACACTAGCAGTGTGAGGGGTTCATAGGGCGTCCGCTGGGTCGCTCCCTCCCCCCCACCCGGGATACACTCAACAATATTGCAAACGAAATGTTATATTATTTCGCAATTATGAAAAGATAGGATAAACTATTTTGTTACAATACAATGAAGTTAATAAATGTATTCACATTTTAAATTGCAGATAATGCATTAAAACTGGCGAACAAAGGTGTACACAGGAATATTTTAATTTACGTTTGTAGCCTGTATGTAAAGTATTCATTATTTTAATAATAATCCTGATAGATTGTGAATGTTAGAGTTTTATTTTCATACAAATTTTGATTTTTAATATTCATTTTTTTTGTAATGTATAATGGAGGCCATTGTGTGATAGCGCCCTTCATATGGCTATAGAGAATATTATTCAATAATCCCACTTGAGGATCTAGCGGCACAGTCTCGGCTGAAAGCATGAACAGTTCCCCGTTTGACGGACTTTACTTCGCGGTAAAAGCAGTGTGTGCATGTGTGTGTGTTTGTTGGCAGGCGCTGTTGGTCCACGCGGGCCGATTCCTCATCGGCGTGAGCTGGGGGCTGAGCGCCACCATCGTGCCCATGTACTGCTCCGAGATCGCGGACAAGCGGTGCCGCGGCCACCTCAACGCCTACGTCTACCCGGCGAGCGTGCTGGGCCACGTGTGGGTGTGCGCGCTGGGCACGTGCCTGCCCTACCTGTGGTACTCGGCGGCGTGCGCGGGGCTGCCGCTGCTGGCGCTGGCCGGGCTGTGGTGGGCGCCCGAGTCGCCAGTGCACCTGGCGGAGGTCGGCCGCCACGAGGAGGCGTGGGACGTCGTTCGGTGGCTGCGGGGCGGCAGTCCCCTCGTCGACCCCAAGCCCGAGCTAGAGGCCGTCCTCGCCGCCGTCAACGCCCTCGACGAGGAGCGGACGCGCTTCGCCTGGGAGATGCTGGCCGAGCCCAAGATCGCGCGCGCGCTGGCGCTGTGCCTCGGCGTGCAACTCTTTCAGCTGACGTGCGGCGTGAACGCCTTCGTGTTTTACACCACGCAGATTTTCGAGGGAGTCGGAATCGTCCCGTCTGGGAACGTGTGCTCTATTGTCCTGACGGTGGCGCATTTCATCGGGGCCGTGTGCTCCACCAAAATGCTCAGCCGGATGCCGCGGAGGCCTTTTCTGCTGGTGTCGGCGGTAGGAATGGCGCTGGGCCAGGCCGGTTTCGGACTGTACAGTTACTATTATAGGTATGGTTACGATGTAAAGACGTGGGCGTGGACGCCAACGTTATCAATCGGGGTTTTCTACATTTTCCATTCAATGGGATTCGGTCCTTTGCCCGGAGTGTTTATGGGGGAAATTCTCCCTGCTCATGTGAAGCCATGGGCAATACCCACCATCGCGTTCTTTGCAAGAACTGTTGCTTCGACCCTAGCGAAAGAAGTTCCTATATTTATCGATGTTTGTCGCCATCACGTAGTTTTTGGTATGTTTTTTGGTGGGTTCAGCGCTCTGGGTGCTATATTTGTCTTTTTCTTTGTTCCGGAAACTAAATTGAAATCTCCAGCATCTAACAAAAAATCTACAGAAAGTAATAGATAATGAAAGTACTTTTTTAAATATTCATTTAGTCCATAGAATATAAAATACGATGCTGTGATATTTTAAGCAAAATGTTGGATAATTGTTTTAATGAAACTGTACCATACATGACAATGAAATAAAGTAAGTTTGTATATAATACTATTTAGTAGCAAATATGGGTGTCGTACTTGCTTGTTTGTTATCACATTTTCTTACTTCAAATTTCAGAGTAAAGAGACACTGGTTCCTAAACGATCGTACAGTGCGAGTACCAATAATTATTCCCGAAGGTAACTCCGTTGTTACGAGAGATACTGTAAAAAAACATATTAAATTAGGTAAGCTGCAATTGAATGGAATATTGAAAAGCAGTGGTAATGAACGAATGCATCTTACAATATGCTTGAACTTCATCTGATATATTTATAGCAGAAATTCCACTTGATAATTCAAATACGATAGTCAATCTAATTCTATAACGCAAGCTCCTGTTGCAAAACGTCTAGGACTTCAAAATGCCCTGCCAAAACTTTTGCAGACCTGACCTTTTTTGTGGTTTATTTAAAAAGCACATTCATTTCTACTCAAACCTTTGTTACAATTCCAGATACGCACCCTTGTTATAAAGGTGACACAACTCAAAAATATTCATTAATGAAGGCTTATAAATAAAATGGAAATTCTTCACAAGGCACATCATGTATTCATTCAATTACTTTAAATTTTCAGGTACATTAACAACTACTGTTATTTTCTTTTAAATAAGCAGAACATTCGCGAGACATTCCGAAATATGGCATACTAGCGGAACCCGCCAGATGTTGCCATGCCCTTTCTCTCCCTATTTCTTCTTCCCTCTCCCTTTCTCGCTATCTCTCCTCGTCTCTCCCTCCTCTCCCTCCTCTCTTCGTCTCTCCCTCCTCTCTTCGTCTCTCCCTCCTCTCTCTGTCCCTTTCATTCACATTTATTGGCAGATTCTGCACGTCTCTGAGCAGATGGGGCAGAGAGTAATGATGCACCTCCTTAGTCTATGGGTAGGGTAATATCAAGAAGCGCCAAACCAGCAAAAATGTATGAAAACGGTATGAAAAACTGTTCTTTTAGGACTTTGGCTTCAAAGTACTAGTTTTTAATGCCCTAAAACGCTTTGTTTAGGAGTTTTTTAACGATACTGAGTCAATAATCCTGCCATGTGTCGTGGATTGCATTTGACATGAATAATTAGGCTTGTTCCTTATTTTCCGTGATTATTTCTACTATTTTAATATTTATTCTGCAATTCGGAGAGGAGATGAATCCAAAAAAATCAGAGATAATTAAATTTGTCCACCGGTTCTTGAGTTACAAATGGTGTAAATAACCCGACTTTAATTTATTTATTTAGATATTTCATTATAAGTGATGAGGCAACAATCACGAGCTACGAGTTCTCAGAGCAACAAGAAATTGTGTTGACAGGAGCACATTCTACATTAAAAATTACTCAACCGGGATTGAGTTTCTGAATACACTGCAACCAAGAAAACTCAATTAAAGCATAGCCTCTGTACACAAAAAAAATGAGTGGGTAACCCATTAACAGTAAGGCACGTGTTCTTTACTACGATGGGGGATCCAAAAATAACTACTTCCAGTTCCTTCGTGCACACGAACGTACGCGAAAGTAAACTGCAGGGGCAGTGATAATAAACAGCTGCTCTCCCTCTCAGAGTTCCAAGCGCCCACCGCGCCGCCGCCAGTTGCGCCACGACATCGCGGCGCTGTCGTCGTTGTGGGATGGGAAAAGCAGGGTGGAAGCGCTTCGTGGCTGTGGGTAGGGAAGGGTAGGCAGGGATGGACGGAAGGAAGACGAGAATAGGACTGTACTGGGGCTGGATGGAGTAGCTGGTGAGTGAACGAAGGGAAGATGGGGCAGGGGCGACATGCGACTGGTCGATGTGGAATGGGGCGAGGAGGACTGGACGAGGTGTGTTGGAATGGGGCGATTCGGAGCAAGCTGGTGCTGGAGCTGGCCGGGGCGAGGGGAGTCGGACGATGCAAGGCAGAGTAGGGCGAAACAGAACGGGGCTAGGATGATGGGCATGGCGAGGAAGGGATGGCAGGGATGCTAAGACGGGGAGGGCAAGGAGGAGGGCAAAGCGTGGAGGGACAGAGGAATGGAGGACAAGGCAGGGGGTCAAGGCGGGGAGGCAAGGCAGGGAGGGTAAAGGGGGGAGGCAGGGAAGCAAGGGAGGCAAGCGGGGAGGCAAGCGAGGAAGGCAGAGGCGGGGGGTGCAACGCGAGGAGGTAAAGCGGAAAGACAATACAGGGAGGTCGCGTCAAGGCGAGGGGTTAAGGTAGAGTCGCAAGGGCGGAGGAAGGAGCGAGCAAACGCGGGGCGGAGAAGCAGGGCGAGGCAAGGGCGGGCTGGTGAAGCGTGGACAGGCAAGCGCAGAGCGATGTGAGCGGACGATGCTGTCGCCTGTCGCGAAGACAGTGCGGGCGAGGCAGAAGAGGCGGAGGAGAAGTTGCTACGAGGAGGAGGAAGGAAGGCGGGGAGGAGGAGGAGGAGGAGGAGGAGGCGGAGGAGGAGAGAGTCGGGACCCGGAGGGCGGTGAGTGCTACCCGGGCCAGACTGCGCCAGTCTACGACGATATCGAAACAAACACCGCGCCCAAAATAGCCTCGTAAATTCTTTACTTACCCATTTTCTTTATTAATGAAGTGTGCCTGCTTTTACGTTGCGCTGAAAATAGCAGCACCGTCTACGCCGCCGCCGCCGCCACAAAAGACGCGAAGCTCCTCCCGCGAAGGCGCTGACAGGGCTCTTGCAAGACGGAGACGGAGGCTGAGGGGAGCCACGCAGACCCCACCCCGTGCAGCAGGGGTTTTAGAAGCGTTTTGTCATCTGGAAAGAGGGTCACAATGAGATTCGCCTCCATGTCTAATTTAGACATTGAATTGAGAATACCTCATTTATTTGATACACACAATTGAATGCAATCATTTTATTAATGTTCTTAAATAAAGAATACGATTAATAATATTATGGTGTATTACGTTATTAATTTTCTGATCTAAAAATTATTCCAGAATTCGATTGTTTTAAGAAAGTTGCTTTCATCAATAATACGTGAAGAAATATCTGTGTTTATTCTTATTTTAGACACATACACATTTCTGCTTACAGATTTTCTTCACCTCCCCCGGGTTGAGACATTACATCACAAGCAGCCTTCCTTTTATTTACCAGCCCCCCCCCCATTACCGCGTCGACGTTTCTTATGCCTTGAAGTCGGTCGTAGAGCATTCTAGCTCGTGAGCACGTTACGCTTAGTCCTATGTTAGAGGAAGAGTACCAGGTAATACCAAGATGTTGATGCAGAAACCCTTACGTCGCTCCATAGTCGCGCACCTAGTCTTATTCCCGCTCAAACGATGTACTGGGAAGGGAAATTCATTCAGAATTGGTTCGAGATATCTGCTTGTGGAAAACAAGCAAACCGATGTGTGGTCGGATCTCCCCATCCAGCTGGGAAAGTTCATTGTCACCTTCCATGATTAAAACATGCACCACACGTACGGCACTAAAGACCTGAGTAGTTAAAACTAATCAATCAATCAATGAAACGGTAAACCACCAATCAGTGCAACGGACAGTCAGAACTCCCCTCCATACTGTGGCTGAATTGGCGCCCTAGATATCTACTAGCGTTGAAAATGCGTCCCCGTCGGGATTCGAACCCTAGGATCTTTGGTCAGAGTCGCTGAAGAGTCACCGGCATTGCTGGGTCTGAACTAAACACTGCCGGGGTTTATGGTGTACTAGGAAGGCACGCCATGCAACAACAGAAAACACGCAAGCCTTACGCGGGGTTCAAACTCGCAGTTCAAATGTAACGGCGGCTCCACACATTCGGCATTCGCCGAGCAGCGAGCTACTGCTCGCCTATTTTCCCAAGAGCTGCTGTTTTCGACGAATGTTCGCTCCCTCTGATGTGTCCTAAAGACCGACACGCGGTGTGTGTACCGAATGTTCGGCGCTCGGCGAATCGCAAGCAGCCCGTCCACAATACTCGGGATTCAGCGAGCGGTTGCTCGAGATTCGCCGAATGCCGCATGTGTGGAGCCGCCATAAGATGCTCTTGGGCGCAAATGCACCAAGCCCCTGCGGCACCCACGCCAGCCAGGTGCGAATGGAGGGGAGTAGTGGTTGCGAGATCCCCTCCAAGCCACAACCTAGCCCCAGGTGGTAGTCACGCCCACGATCCTTCGAACTAAGACTATGAAGACGCGGACATCTCAGCGACCGCAACTAGGGCGAAAATGAATGAATGAATGAATGAATGAATGAGTGAATAATTCCTACTGCACAAAAGTTAAAACCAAATGTCATTAAACAAGTTATTTGTTGATTTGATGAGTTGAGTTATTTAATGAGTTGATTTGATGAGTTGGTGTTATTTGTTGCGAATAAGATATTGAAGTAGTAGTGAATGTTTCAATTCGAAGATAATTAAGAAATATTTTTTTCGTTTTTGATGATTTTTCGACAAAACGGAAAAAATATAACAATTTACTAGCTGAGATCCAGAATTATAAAGAGAAATGATATACAAAGTGATATTATAGCCTACACAATATGTTATAAAAAAGAAAAGCCCAGCAAATCCCAGCTCGGGATAATTCAAACATTCACAAAAAAACTCAATCAAATTATTATTATTATTATTATTATTATTATTATTATTATTAGACATTCCATATTTATATGGGAGAAGCTACGACACAGACACGCTGACTCTCTGACAACAGTATATTAGGACCTGTTCTATGTTTGTAACACGTTTGCATTTATAGACCATTATTTATTAACGTTCCTAATCTAAGACCTATAAGATGGATGAAATTTGCGATCTATTTATTTTTGCAAAAGCACCTCTTTAAAGCAATTTCTTGGCGTTGAATTCATTTTTTCTCCTCTTTGGTACTTGCAACAAAGAACTTGAATGATTGATCGCGTTTCCATAGCGCATTTA